CAGCCCGGCTCCGGGTCTCCCGCACCCACAGCACCCAGTTGGGTCCCCGTGTGGGTGCCCGCCTGGGATTGGGCAAGATGGACTTCTCGCTGGCCGCGACGCTCAACTCGGAGTTCAGGGAGACGCGCACCAACGAGAAGGTGGAGATGATGGAACTCAACGACCGCTTCGCCAGCTACATCGAGAAGGTCCGGCTCCTGGAGCAGCAGAACAAGGTGCTGGTGGTGGAGCTGAACCAGGCGCGGGACCAGGAGCCCTCGCATCTGGCCGACATCTACCAGGAGGAGCTGCGTGACCTGCGGCGACACGTGGAGCAGTTGGCCACTGCCAAGGCCCGTCTGGAGATCGAGAGGGACAACCTTGCTGAGGACCTTGGCACCCTCCAGCAAAAGTAAGGCACTGCCCTGCTTGGGGTGGTCCTAGGGACCAAGGTGGCCACCAGGAGCAGGATGATGGTGGGAACCAGGGTGGTGATGGGGATCAAGGTGGCCACCAGAACCTGGATGATGGTGGGAACCAGGGTGGTGATGGGGACCAAGGTGGCCACCAGGAGCAGGATGGCCCCAGAGACCAAAGTGGTCATGGGGACAGGATTGAGAGTGACCACTGGGATGTGTGCCAGAGTGACTACAAGGACCAGGGTGGCCACTGGAATGAGTACTAGGGTGGACATTAGGACCAGAGTGGCGCAGGATGGTAATAAGAATTTTCCTGGGACCAGGGTGGTGATGGGGACCAAGGTGGCCACCAGGAGCAGGATGATGATGAGGACCAGGGTGGTGTTGGGGCCCAGGGTGGCCACTAGGAGCAGGATGGCCCTAGAAACCAAAGTGGCCACCAGGACAGGATTGAGAGTGACCACTGGCATAGGTGTCAGGGTGACTACCAGGACCAGGGTGGCCACCGAGACCAGAGTGGCATCAGGATGGTGATCAGGGTTTTCCTGGGGACCAGGGTAGTAATGGGGACCCTGGTGGTGGCAAGGACCAGGGTGACCCTGGGGACCAGTACAGGGAC